AGGGGAGGGGAGGGGAGGGGAGGGGAGAAGGGAGGGATGGCCAGGAGGGTATGTCAAGGACATAACTTAGTGGCGGCACAGCACCCCTGCTCACTGAAATGAACAACATGCAAAACCTTGGAAACCATCAGACCTGTGAAAGGTCCTGTCTCCAAAACCCACACACTGCACCACTCCCAACAGCAAACTCTACCCCTGCTAACAGGACAAAGTAGAACCCTTGCTGTCAGAAGTTTAGGAGCTAGAACAGACTGCTAGTGAGTTATGGGTGTTTCCTTTGGAGATGACAAAATAAAATTAGCATAACTGGCCAACTCTGCAGGTACACGAAAAGCCAGTGAAAATCATGTATGGCGGTGCACACCTATATAACCTCAGCACTCAGCCTGAGGCAGGAGGATCCCTGTATCAAAATAAATTTTAAGGGTGCCGGGGAGATAGCTGAGTAGAATAAGCACTTGCCTGGCAAGCGCAAGGGCCTGAGTTCAACCCCTGGTTCCTCCAAAAAAAGAGAAAATTGTTATAGGTGAAAAAAAATCAAAAAATCAAAAATCAAAATAAATGTTAAGACCTGAGGATGCAGGATCAGTGGGAAGGTTGTGAATTTAATCCACAGCACCACAAAATGATAAATGCCAAAAAGAAGTCTGTTTTAGTGGCACTGGGAACCAAATCTAGGGACTCTGGGCTGAGCTATATATATCCCAGTGACTTTTTAAAGAGAACTAAGTCATAGGGCTGGCGAGATGGCTCAGTGGAATAAGTGCTTCCCTGGCAAGTGCAAGGACCTGAGTTCAATCCCTGGTTCCGCACCAAAAAAAAAAAAAAAACTGTTGAGCCTCCTGCCTTAGTCTCTTCAGAGTGCTAGGATTCAGATGTCCATCTGAAATGCACCAACACCGAGAAAGGACACACTCTGTTCCCCACAGCAGCACTCTTTGATGGAGACTTACTTTTATGTGCTGGGACCTCTGGGCTGTATCCACCGGGTGCAGGACCTGTAGCCCGCACATGTCGCAGGCGTCGCCGTGCAGGTACACACAGTTCTCCCCGTAGCGGCACTCGCCCACGGCGGCATAGGGACACAGCTGCTTCCTGGTCTCCACCGCAGCTGGCTCCTTCTCGGACTCCGCCTTGGGCCCTGGGCCCTGCACGGGGGCCTCTGCACACCCAGAAGCAGCTGCAAATGGGTGAAGGGGGGAAGGGCGAGAGGTGAGGAGATGCACACATTATGAGGGAACCAAGAACCTGGAACCTAACAAAAGGACAAAGGAAGAACTGCAATTAAGCTTCAAACTGAACTGCTTTCTTCACTCTTGAAAGACCTGACTTTTCTCTAAGGCTCGTATTTCCAAGATTTGGTTTGAAAAACAGAATGTTAGGGGCCGGGGAGAAGGCTCAGTAGAATAAGCACTTGCCTACTAGCAA